ATAAATCGCCTGTCATATATCAATAACATCAAATGGTTTCAGTTTCATAAGATGAAAATCCGTATAGATTATAATCGCTTCGAACTCAGCACCCTAATAGTAAACCCTAATGAAGTATAAGACGTATATATATTTGAAACAACAAGCGTATATATACCTGTAAGCAAGTGACTTGGAGATAATGACGATATAGTCGAATCGAGGAGAACGACCACGTAGGATACGAATAATGAGCTCTGGGGGCAGAGGAGGAATAGAAACAGGCTAATCGGAAGTGAAGAGGAAACAGGAATTCCAGTTTCAGCAAACCCACCGATCAATTTGAATGATATAAAGGATCTAATAAATCTGGAGGTGGATTTTAATAAGGTTAACAAGAAAGTAAGAAACGAATCCCTAAAATAAAGGGACTATTTATAGAATTGATTTACCAAATTACTAAATTACCCTCATTGATTAATTTAATTATTTAATTTTTTATTTTATTTTGATTGGTCCACATTTATGCATACGATAACATAATAATTAGTTTAAACAAATGAACCTAGCTATATATATATATATATATATATATATATATATATATATATATATATATATATATATATATATATATATATATAAAGGAAACATTTTTCCTTTCACCACATTCATTTGAAACTCCCATGACTTTTCAATTTCTTTCTAATAATAATTATAATTTGGTTAATTAGGGTAAATAAATATCAAACCTAAAATGTAATCATATATAAACTAAAGTTTATAATTAAAATAATATCTTTACTTCTACTTATAAAGTTATGTTTTTTTTAACTTTTACCATATAATACTTAATTTATTAGTTTTAATATATTGTTGGATGTAAACCATTATCATTTTAAAGATACAATTTTGAAACAATTTGGATAAAATACTTAAATTATTAATTTAAATATAACATTAAATGGTCAACTTAAATATAAATTTTAGTTTAACTTAAACAACCCAAAAAATATTTTGTATATAGTTAAAAGTAATAAATTGTAGTGCCTTTCTAATAATGATTATATGCAGGTTAATAAGGCTAAATAAATCTCAAACCTAAAGTGTAATCATAAATAAACTAAATTTCAATTTTAAAATAATATCTTTACTTCTACTTATAAAGTTATGTCTTTAACTTTTAATATATTATATTTACTTTATTATATTTAATTTATTGTTATATGTAAATAATTATTAGTTTAAAGCTATAACTTTTAAATAGTTTGAACAAAATACTTAAATTTTTAACTTAAATATAATATTAAAATGTCAACTTAAATATAAATCTTACTTCCACCTAAGTAACCAAAGAATATTTTGTAAATACTTAAAATTGATAAATTGTAGTTATAAATGCAAAAACTAAATTGTTATCTCAATTTAACTAAAATATTTTCTAAAGATATTTTTATAATCGTTAAAAGTTTTCAAATAAGTAGCTTAAAATATATTTACAATAACAATAGTAAAAAAATAACTCTATAGAAATGATTATGGTACCTTTAAAATCAAAAAATAATGTTTGATGTTTTAAATAATTATAATGATAGAAATTAAAATATTAAGCATATAAATTTAAAAAAAAAAAATTAACAGTAACAACAACTATAAATAACATTAAACCATATATTATATTTCATTTTATTTATATGTAACTCGAAGGTAAAATTCATTCAAACGATTAAGATTATGAAGTTATAATAGACATATATATTATCATATAATTCAAATAATCAATATATTATATCAATTTAGTATACGAATTATTACATAAAATTTAACAACAACGTTATTGTTATATCTAAAAAAGAACATATATTTATAAAGACCTTTACCTATATAGATATTTCTGCGCATTACAATGTCAACTTAAATATAAATTTCAGTTAAACTTAAAAAATAAAGAATATTATATAAATAGTTAAAAGTGATAAGTTGTATTGCTAAATACAGAAACTAAATTGTAATATCAATTTAACTAAAATATCTCCTAAATATATTTTTATAGTCGTTAAAAGTTTCCAAATAATTAGCTTAAAATAACTTACAATAAGAATAGTAAAAAATAACTCTATATAAATGAACATATTGTTACCTTTAAAATCAACAAATAATATTTGATGTTTTAAATAACTATAATGATATAAAATTAAAATATTAAGCAAATAGATTAAAAAAAATTAATTACCAATAACAACAACTATAAATAACATTAAACTATATATTATATTTAATTTTATTCATGTGTAACTCGTGGGTAAAAGTCATTGAAACGAATGAGATTATAAAGTTATAATAGATGTATGTATTATCATATAATTCAAAATAATCAATATATTATATCAATTTAGTATACAAATTATTATATAAAATTTAACAACAACATTATTGTTATATTTAAAGAAACATATATTTGTAAATACTTCAACTATATAGGTAGTTCTGCGCAACGCGTGGACATTCGCCTAGTATATACTTATAAAGGAAGCATTTTTCCTTTCACCAAATTCATTTGAAACTCCCATTCATTTTTCCTTTCACCACATTCATTTGTAACTCCCATGACTTTTCAATTTCTTTCTAATAATGATTATAAGTTGGTTAATAAGGTTAAATAAATATAAAACCTAAAGTGTAATTATATATAAACTAAATTTCAATATTAAAAGAATATATTTTCTTTTACTTATAAAATTATGTTTTTAACTTTTAATATATTATACTTAATTTATTAGGTCTAATATGTTTTTGTATGTAAACCATTATCATTTTAAAGCTATAACTTTTGAACAATTTGTATAAAATACTTAAATTGTTAATTTAAATATAACCTTATAGGTCAACTTAAATATAAATTTTAGTTCAACTTAAAAACCAAAGAATATTTTGTAAATTGTTAAAAATGATAAATTGTAGTGTCTTTCTAATAATGATTATAAGTCGGTTGATAATGTTAAATAAGCATCAAACCTAAAGTGTAATCATAAATAAATTAAATTTTAATATTAAAATAATATTTTTACTTCTATTTATAAAGTTATGTCTTTAATTTTTAACATATTATACTTAATTTATTAGATTTAATATGTTGTTGTATGTAAACCATTATCAATTTAAAACTACAACTTTTGAACCGTTTGGATAAAATACTTAAGTTGTTAATTTGAATATATAACATTATAGTGTCTACACTAATATAAATTTTAGTTCCATTTAAAATACTCAAATAATATTTTGTGAATAGTTAAAAGTGATTAATTGTAGTGTTAAATGTAAAAATTAAATTGTAATATCAGTTTAACTAAAATATTTTCTAAAAATATTTTTATAATCGTTAAAAGTTTTCAAATAAGTAGCTTAAAATAACTTACAACAACAAATAAGTAGCTTAAAATAACTTACAACAACAATAGTTCAAAATAACTTTATATAAACGATAATATTGTTACCTTTAAAATAAAAAATAAAAATTATTTGATGTTTTAAATAATTACAATAATAGAAATTAAAACTCTAAGCAAATAAATTTTAAAAAATTAATTAACAATAACAAAACTATAAATAACATTAAACCATATATTATATTTAATTTTATTCATGAGTAACCCGCAGATAGTGGTCATTCAAAAGATTGAGATTATGTAGTTTTAATAGATGTCCATATTATCATATATAAATCAAAATAATCAATATATTATATCAACTTAGTATACAAATTATTATATCAAATTTAACAACATTATTGTTATATTTAAAAAAAACATATATTTGTAACGATTTCAGCTATATAGATACTTATGCGCAACGCGCAGGCATTCACCTATGTATATATATATATATATATATATATATATATATATATATATATATATAGTTAGGTTCATGTGAGACGACCAAATTTTATGAGACCGTGAGACGCATTTTTTTTATTTTTTTTTATTTTTTTAGTTAATTCAAGTTCCGAAAATAATATTTAAAAAAAGAATTTTTGGATTTTTCAATTTATTTGGCATTTTAAAATTATTTTTTAGAATATGTACAGTGTAATATTCTATTAGAATATTTCACGTATTTTTAAAAAAATGGGATTTTTTAAAATTTTTTTATGTTAATTCAAATTCCGGAATTTTTAGATTTTTCCGTTTATTTTGCATTTTAAAATTATTTTTTAGAATATATCAGTGTAATATTCTATTAGAATATTTCACGTATTAAAAAAAAACAGGATCTTTATTTTATTTTATTTATTTTTTTTTTAGTTAATTTAAGTTCCGAAAATAATATTTAAAAAAAGAATTTTTGGATTTTTCCATTTATTTTGCATTTTAAAATTATTTTTAGATTTGGTCTCACGATCTCATAAAATTAGAATGGTTTCAAATGAACCTGAATATATATATATATATATATATATATATATATATATATATATATATATATATATATATATATATATATATATATATATATATATATATATATATATATATATATATATATATATAGGATTAAGTTCAAATGAGAACACTATTTAATGTGAGAACACTACTTTATACTACTATTCTACTATGAATTTTGTATATACAACGATATAACATTATTCATCAACAAATATACGAATAATCAGACATTAATATTTACATTAAAATTTTGTATGTACAACTTTATGATATTATTTATCACCAAATATATGAATAATCACATATTTAAGATTCACATTAGAATTTTGAAATTACTACACATATATATAAATTTTATAGTAGAATAGCAATATAAAATTGAATATATTCATATTATAATTACTACAATACTATACATATTAAATTCATAGTAGAATAGTAACATAAAGTAGTGTTCTCACATTAAATATTGTTATATATATATATATATATATATATATATATATATATATATATATATATATATATATATATATATATATATATATATATATATATATATATATAACGAAAAATTGAAAATGTGGCATCTTATGGCATCTTATGGTCTCCCTCTTGTCATCGGTTATGAACAAAGATCAACCGAATTCGGTATTTAGGTCACGTTTGTGATTTCGCCGGACATTTTAATCGTTGCCGGTAAACCTCAGATTCAGGTATCTCGTTCTGTCGATCCAATTATGTAAAGCTGTTGCTCGTCATAGGCCAAATTATCTTCACAAAATTTCTCCTAATTGACGCGTCTATGAGGAATGCGATATAATCGGAATCTTTGACTCATTTTGAGCTAATTTTTAAGTTAAGTTTAGATTAATGGATGTTTATTAGGTCTTTGCAGTTCACGTTCATACTCTTACCTGTTTTATTTTTTTCGCTAGTTAAAAACCATAATCAATTTGTATATGTTCTGATAATCTACGAGGCTTGAAGCATTCTTGATCTATTGCTCTATGATACTTTGTTTACTGCGGTTTCCATTTTAGCACTAGAATTCTGATCTTCTGTATGCTTCTCTCCTCCTCTCCCCTGATGCATTGATCTTAATTTGCTATTAATAACAGCTTAGATTTAAATACACTGAGTTTTAATTTGCATTGATAAACGTAGTTTGTTCTGCTAATATAGTTTTTTTTTGGTTTTCAGGGTAAACCCACTGCAATTACAGGTTTAAAATCCGAATGGGACTTTGCTTCTCTTCGGTGAGTTTATGTTGCTTCTCTTCGGTGAGTTTATGTTGCTTCTCTTCGGTGAGTTTCCTTGTAAATTGTAACAAATAACAGGACTTGTATACAATTTTTCTTAAACAGAGTAGCTCCTGTGGCCTCAGTTTTTGTTTCTTGAATGATTTTTTCAAACTTTATAACAGAGGAATGATAGTTTCCAGACACTTGTTGTCTTCTGATTTTAATATGTTATTACATTACATGCAACGTATGGGACCCACAAAAGGAGAATGTGGTAATGGAATAAACAAATAGTCAAATACAACCTTAGTTTTCTTGAATTCTTGATCATTAAGTTTAATTATGCTATTAATATTTGTAAACTCAGACCGAAGAAGATGAGCCAGATGATCGCCCTCAATTTGCAGGAGGTAAAGTGACACTTGTCACTACCAAGGATGTTTGGGATCGAAAGCTCTCCGAAGCAAAAACACAAGGCAAAATAGTAAGTGTCATTTTCATCATTTCATGGTTTCTTAATTAAGACAATAAAGATTAGGTCTTTTCTTTAACAATATCTACTTCAAAAGATTGTAAGTAATTTGAAAAAGTGGTTATTTTACAGGTGGTTGCCAACTTCAGTGCATCTTGGTGTGGACCTTGCAAGTCAGTTGCACCATTATACATCGAGCTTTCAGAGAAACATCCATCTCTTATGTTTCTGACTGTAGATGTTGATGCATTAACAGTAAGTCTTTTCTTGTTGACTTAATGCAGAAAGAACGACTTAATACAGAATTTAGTGTAAGGGGAATGATGAAATACATTATTTTTGATGCAGGATTTTAGTACGCAATGGGATATAAAAGCAACTCCAACATTCTTTTTCCTTAGGGAGGGGAAACAATTTGATAAACTTGTGGGGGCCAACAAGGAAGAATTGCAGACTAAGATAAGCAGCATGGTGGTGTCAGAGGCCCCAGGTGGTCAAAAGTAATTGGTTGTTCATTAATTGGTATATGATTGATTGTTCATTGTTATCAGAAATTATGTAATGTAAATACATCTTGTGTTTCATAATATCAAATATGGACATTCATTCTCAATATGGGTTCACCAACATTTGTTTTCATAATTTTGGTTTAGCTCTGAAAATACTTGAAACAATAACAAACTTCATACTATGCAGAAATATGAATGCATATGCTTCTAAATGATTTACCAAATAAAAAAGAAGCTTACACCCACTATTAATTTGCTCCCATTGTGCATATATCACATCTTACATGTTTACAGGCTTGGGGACTTTTTGGGTAAGTTGTACGAGGTCAAACAATGTTGTATGACCTTGTAATCCTAAGAGACAAGTTGTAACAAGCCCTTTGTTTACCTTACTTTCTTGTAGACCTTTATACACTAAGGGTATATGCTCTCATTGTGACAACTCTCAAACTTGGCCTAATTTGAAAATAACTTTAAGCAGAATTTCCCAAACATATAAAACATTTTTGGAAACGCCAAAAATGTTTAAAACTGCAGCAAGATGTCAAAACCAACATCATACATATTAGTAAAAGTATAAATACTAAATCCAAGGCCATACATCTATACACAACGTATCCACCCGACTTTTGGCTTGAAGTGTCTTACTATAAGTGTCACTCGGCATGGGAAATCAATCATTATGGAAACAATACGGAGGATCCATGCTTATACCTAGTCTGAGGAATAACAACCTTCCATGGGAACAATACACATGTATGATATATGTGCTTGTATTGAACCGGAGAAAGAAACCTAAGAACTATAATGGAGACTATACAAAACCTATAACTTACAATTATTATTATATTTAGTATATTCCCCTGTCAATATCAAAAAAAGCCCATTGGTTGCTCGGAGTGCTCGATTAATAGTCTTGGATAATACCGTATACGTATGATGCAGCGTAGAGACACAAATAAAGATTGACCATGTGGATTTGTAGACCTAGAATAATCTCTTCCAAACCATATTGATTCAATGAATACCGTGGAAATGGGGTTCCAAATCTGGTTTCAAGCACTCATAAATTGGGAAGAAAAATGATTTTTCATAAAACCAAAGAGTGATCATCCACGTTACATCAATAACACTTGAATAAAAAGAAAACTTTAAATGGGTCCCAAAAGAGCCATGAGCCAAGCACAAACCCAAAAAACATGAAAAAAAGAACATAAAAATGTCTATAACTTCACTTAGAAAGCGTTTCTAGGACTTAAATATGGGTAAGTCGCCATGACGTGTTACTCGTTTCAAGCTTCGATTTGACCAGTCGTAGGCTTAAAATAGAGCCCATAGGCAAAGTTGTGGCCTTTTTCGTTAAGCCCCCTTTGGTAACTCGATCATTGGCCTCTAAGAACATGATGTCTGATCATCCACGCTAGGGCATGCATCAACATCGTAACAATACGCGCTTAGGCTATCTTGGACAATTTAAGACAAAGTTGATGATTTAAAGGTGTGTGTACCATAGTTTTCGAAGTCCATGAACTATACGTTTGGAGAGTCATTGAGCATGTATAGAGCTTGAGCTCGAGCTTCAAGCCTAAATTATGCAAAGCTGATGAGTGATTGGGTACCTAAACAAGTTAGACTCCCTAGGAGACTAATAGACAGTGGTTCTTTTTTTTTTTTGTTTATTTATAGATTTATTTATTATGGAAAACTTCTTGACTTAATATACGGATCATGAAAAAACCGTTATGGCTTACCGGGTACCATACACATAATCCATATTAGTATATGTTATCCATTTTTACCCTTGTTAATTTCTTTTTTACCTTCGGGAATCTACTTCTTCTCCATTTTGATTTCCATTATGATATTGTCTCTATATGTAATAATTTTAAATTTTCTTAAAACTTCCGATGTCCTTTTGGTTGACTCTTCATAGATCTCGATATATAATCTCGATAGTGGCAATTGTATACCACAATAAAAGTACTTATTTCCTAAGAAAAGGTGAGGAAATTAACACCTCGCTCCCGCGTTATAGCAAAGAAAAGAAGAGAAGATAAAAGAAAGTAAGGAGCGAAAAAAAGAGAAAAGAAAGAAAAAGAAATTTGTCTTTTGTGATCCGGAGTTTGAGAGAAATAGAAGAAAAATTAAACATTTTGTTCTTTCTTTCAAAATTCTTTCAAATCGGAAGGTAAGTTAGGAGAGAAAGTGATACTTTCATTTTCTTCCACTTCATTCCTTTAATGAAACTCGGGAGCACCAATTTCTCTTACATTCCTCTCACTTCCATCCATTTCCTTTATTTTCTCTTGTTAAGTTGAACTCGGAAGGGGGGGGGGGTGGGGGTGGGGGTGTAAGGGTTGGTTGTGAATAAGGACCATCATTGTCTTTGCAATGATAATCACCTTTGTAGGTATTATTAGAGGACCTTGGAAACCTTACCTTTGTTGGCAATAGGCAATAGTGTACAACCTAACAGATATTCTTTTAAAAACGAAGAAATCGGAAAGACAAGAAGTAATTAATGTAGAGTTAGTGTGATTTAACCATGAAACTTTTGTAGCTTTTATAGGAAAAAATAGGTGATTTTGCAACGATTTAAGGTGTTAACGCAATGTGAAGCCTTATTACACTAAATGAAAAAAAATACACTCTCGAACCTCCTAAGAAAATATTTCGTAACTACGAGTTAATTCGCAACGTGCGTTGCAAAATGACTATTATTTCAATATCGCCCTTAAGCAATCATGATGCTAGACGAATACCTTTGCATTAGCCTAAACTAAACTAAAAGGTCATACACATATTTTAATAGTCATACACATATTTTAATAAAAAAACACACGATTAGGTCTTCATGTGTTTTTTCATTTGTCCTACATAGGTCATTGGGTCACTCAACTTGTTTGTCATATACTATGACCCACTATCCATCTTACACATTTCATTTTTTATGCAATGACATCTCATTTTTTTCTGGCTCTTCAGAACTCAGAAAATTATTATATTTTACTTTTTTTTTTTCATTTTTTTCACAATAAATTTAATTTAATTTAAAAAACTATAAACTTTTTATAAAATAATTAATTAATAAACACAAAATTAATAAAAATAAAAATATTTCATTTGTTAAAAATAAAAATGACATAATAAAACCAAGAAAACTTGATTAAAAACTACACAATAAAAACCACTCTTAATCATCATCTCAATAGTCGTCCGAATCTTCGTCCGAATCCTGGATGAACGTATCTGAATCTTCATTTGATTCGTCAAACAAATAATCATGCCAATCTTTAACCTTGGGTTGTATGTTAGCCCGTAAATATGTTCCACCAATTCTGCTTTAAGGGAGTGGTGAATGTCACGAACATATATTTCTCTTATGTTTTCCCTATACTCTTATGTACTAACAGTTACTCCTTCGACAGTAAGCAAAACTTCGTCATCGTAGCGGCATATCGTTTTTTCTTCCTCTTCTAGAATCATATTATGTAATATAAAGCACACGTACATTATGATTTTCAACCTTTTGACTTCATATGATTGTGGCCCAACTTGTAGTACTTGCTAACGCATCTTAAGCACACCAAATGGTCACTCTATATCCTTCCTAGCTGATTCTTGTGTTGGCATAAATTTTATTCTTTTTTCATCATTCAGACATGTAAACGATGACAAGTTAGGATATATCACATCAATAAGATAGTACACATGCTTATATGATACCTCATTTGTTTGAAATGGTACATCGTGCAACTTTCCAAGATAGATGTTGTTGAATACTAACGACTTGTCAAGAATATTGATGTCGTTGTTTGCTCCAGCAGGACCAAATAATGAATGTCATATCCAAAGATTGTGTGATGTGATTGCTTCTAGAATAATCATCGGATATATATGATCACCTCGTATGTATTGACCATGTCATGCGTTAATGCCCAATACATGTGCATGAAATAGATACTACGTAACATTCCCGGGAACACATGCTTGTTTTCATGCAACATGTGCAACTAGTGGACGTCATTGATCGTTGGTTTGTGTAAATATCGCTTGTCGTAAACCAAAATAACAACTTTCACGAACTTGTACACACTTTCCCATGTCGTACATTCTGGCATCCTTAAATACTCATCCTATTTGTTTGCTCCTATCTGTATGCTAACTAACTAATTATGGATATGCATTTTTGAATCGGAGAAAAATGTTTTTCTACCTCTCACATCTCACTTCAACTGAAAATATGGAAATTGACCCTCCAAGTCACCAACAATACACACAAATAACTCTTTCCTCATACGGAACCGCCGTCGAAACTTTTATGTAACACCTAGTTCCAAGATGTTTCTAATTCCAGGTTAGCGAACTGTAATTTGATCAAGTAAAGGTCTTAGGCTTCAAAGGAATAAAGTTTAGACCTTATTAGATTTTGATAATGTTGGTTAAGTGATTTAAGCCCCTGAATTTTGCTTCGGAGCCAAAAGGGTAAATTAGGAAAAGATGATACATGGACTCATTACATGTATTAATGAATTAAGTTCACTATTTATTAAATCAAAAGTAATTTGATAGAATTGTAGGGATTGTTAATAACTTCACATGCATATATATATCATTGAAAATGGATTTGGAACGAAGAAGTTATGATTGTCTGAAGCTAGAATGAAATTTAGGAAAACCTATAAATACGGCGTGGTAAGACTATTACCATGGCGTGGTGACGTTGTGCAGTCCAAGCTCATAAAATTAGGGTTTCCCCTATATTTAAGGACCTTACCTCAATGTTTTAGGTCATTTTGTTGCCTCCATCACACCTAGAGCTCCTTTGGAGCAAACCCTAGTCTCCTCCTTCATAGTTTGAACTCCTCATCTCTCTTTGAACCTCTTTTGGTGCATTTTGGGTGTTTTGGTGAAGAAAGCAAGAAAGGTTGTACTTGGAACCTTGAAGCTTGTGAATATCTACTATCTCTACTCTTATGTACCCTTGTAAGGTATAAAGATCATTGATTTATTGTGTTTCTATTAGATTAAGGTGTCTAAGCCAGAAACTAAATTAGTATATTCTTGTAATTAGAAACAAAGTCCTTTTGGGTTGATGTTAGGG